TTTGGGAATTTCAGATTATTTTATTATTCAATTAGTAAATAAAATGATGATACCTAGGTTACACAGAATTACTGTTGCTAAACTGAGTGTATACAAACCACTTCATCATTTCTTCCATTTGCTTTAGCTACTCTACGTTCAAGAGTAAGTTTGAGAGTCTCTTCTGACATCCATTTTGGTCTTTTCTTTCTTCCCTGTCTTTTTAGTGACCTTTTGCTTTCTTCATGTATGATGTCCTTGCACAACTCGTCTGGTCTTCAGTCATTAGTTTTCAATGCGTGCGTCAAATCTATTCTCTAGATGGTCTCTAAATTCAGGTGGGATATACTCAAGGTTGCACTTTGGCTCTCGTGGGCTTGCTCCAGTTTCTTCAGCTTCAAGTGGAACTTGCATATGAGCAATTGGCGGTCAGTTCTGCAGCAGGTCCCTGGCCTTGTCCTGACTGATGATATTGAGCTTTTCCATTGTCTCTTTCCACAGATATAGTCGATTTGATTTCTGTGTTTTCCATCCAGTGAGGTCCACATGTATAGTTGCTGTTTATGTTGTTAATAAGTATTTGCAACGAAGAAGTCATTGATCTTGCAAAATTCTATCATTTGATCTCTGGCATTGTTTCTGTCACCAAGGCCATATTTTCCAACTACCAGTCCTTCTTGTTTCCAACTTTCATATTCCAATCACCAGTAATTATCAATGCATCTTTTTGTATATTTGATCAATTTCAGACTGCAGAAGTTGGTAGAATCTTCGATTTATCTTTTGCATTAGTAGTTGTTGCAGGAATTTGAATAATAGTCTATTAACTGGTGATTTAATAGGGTGTACGGATATTCCTATCACTGACAGCGTTGTACTTCAGGATACATCTTGAAATGCTTTTTGATGATGAACAGGACGCTATTCCTCTTCAATTTGTCATTTACATCACAGTAGACCATGTGACTGTCTGATTCAAAATGGCCAGTCCAGTCCATTTCAGCTCAATGACTAGGATATCAATCTTCATGCATTTCATTTTTGACAACTTCCAGTTTTCCTAGATTCATACTTTGTACATTGCGTGTTCCAATTATCAATGAATGTTTGCAGCTATTCCTTCTCATTTTGAGTCGTGCCACAGGTATAAGACTTAGGATTTATAGTACATATTTTGGGGGGGGGGGACACAATTCAATCCGTAACACTACCTAAGCCCTGAAAAAAATTAATGTGATATCTGTTATTCGTCAGATATGAGAAAACTGTAAGGCTGTAATGGATTTTAATGGGAATAATTTGAAAAAATTAAATTTAAAATGATTGTGGTCTGGAACGCTACATAGAATTAATTGTAGTGTTTTCCAGTGTATGTTGGAGAAAGGACAAAGGGACATGTGTGCCTTGGCATGAGACTGCGTCCCCTTGACGAAAGGACTGTTTCCTAATTTTTACAAAGGTATCCAATGGGTAAGTGGGATCCCTTAATGTAAGAGATAAGGAAATGCCTAGTAGGTACTCAAAACTGCAGCTGAAAAGTACTTTAAAAGTCCCATTCTATTTATTTGTCATTCTGGGTCCTGTGCATACATGCAAAGAACTGGAAAGAGATCCTTCTCTACTACACTTGCATACACATATTTAATTGGTACCCATATTTCTAATAATTGCAGATCCACTTCATTTTAAATTGGAATCCTTAAAAGATCTAGTTAATATACATAATTCTGCAATTAAAATATCTGAAATATAGAAAAGGTAAGTGACCCTATTCAAGGATACATGGAATATGCAAGTATTTCAGAGGGTAGGGCAGGTTTTCAGCAGTAACAATCTTCAAACCACAAAGGCTGAAAACAATTTTCTCACTTACTCTATACATTTGACAAGGGGTTGTACTCCCCATAGTCTCAGGGGCCCAGCGTGATGGGGGCTCTACCAGTGTAGCAGGAGGAAGGGATTTGGTGCAATTGTCCACTCCCTTTTAAAGGTTCTACCCAGAAGCAACACATACTTCTATTTTCACTTGTCAAAGCAAAGGGGACAGAATTCAATACTGCTATAATGGAGCCCAGGGAAACCCTGGTGGCATAGTGGTTAAGAGCTATGGCTGTTACCAAAGGTCAGCAATTCAAATACACCAGCCGCTCCTTGGAACCCTATGGGGCAGTTCTACTCTGTCCTGCCAGGTCACTGTGAATCAGAATCGACTCAACAGCAAAGGGTTTTATAACGGAACCCTCAAGGTGCAGTGGTTAAGCGTTCGGTTGCTATCCAAAAGGTTGGCAGTTTGAACCCACCAGCTGCTCCTTGGAAACCCTATGAGGCAGTACTACCTTGTCCTATAGGGTCGCTGAGTTGGAACTGACTGGACGGCAATGGGTTTGGTTTTGGGGCGGGGGTGTTGATGGCACAGTGGTTAAGAGCTACAGCTGCTAACCAAATGGTTGACAGTTCAAATCCACCAGCCACTTCTTGGAAACCTTATGGGGCAGTTCTACTCCATCCTATAGGGTCACCATGAGTTGGGATCGACTTGACGGCAACTTTTTTTTTTTAATATGCACAGAAGCAGAACTGTTATATTTGTGAAAAACCCTAGTGATTACCAGGTTAGCTAAGGATCCCATATGTACCCATATTCAAATGCTCAAAAATTTTCTCCAAAATCAACTATAAATCACTTACATATCCACAAAAATTTTTCTCTGCATTAATGTAGATGTTTAGAGCATGGAGCTCTTCCTTCTGGTCTGTAATAATAGCTATAACGAGTTATTTTCTTAGACTATATAGTTGTAGGTAGCATTGTCCTTTGCCTATCCGATGCCCACTTTCTTCTCCCTTACTGTAACATCCTGATTTGTTCCAGTGTCCACTCTTCCCATGTTAAGGCTTGGGAGGAAATCCTAACTCATCAAATCCAATGACAGTGATGCCATGCCCCTTGTTAGTGTTCTATTTAGCAGTGTTTATCTGACCCTTCTGGCCAATGACTAGTGAAGTATAGTTGCTGATGGGCTTCTAAGAATTTTCTTCCCTTGAAACAAACAGTAGTTTTGGTTGCTGGATATTCAATCTGTATGGGATGCCTAGCAATGTAGAAGCCATCTTATAATAAATAGCTTAGGATAAACATGCAGAGGAAGGCAGACGAGGAAGATGGAGGTCAGTTGAGTTTTACCTTTTGTTATATAATGAACTCACTGCTATCAAGTTGATCTGATCAAGGCTACTTCATGCGTTACACAACCGCTCCACAGGGTTTTCTTCATTGTAATCGTTATGGAAAGGAGCCCTGGTGGCACAGAGATTAAGCACTCGGCTGCTAACTGAAAGTCTGGCGGTTTGAGTATACCCAGCAGCTCTGTAAGGCCTGGAGACGTGTTCCTGTAAAGATTACAACCTAGAAAGCCCTATGGTGCAGTCATACTGTTACATGGGATCACTATTAGTCTAAATCAACTCAATGACACCTAATAACATTTCTGGGAGTGGATCACCAGGCCTTTCTCCTGTGGCTCCACTGGGTGGGTTTGAACCACCAACCTTTAGGTTAGTAGCCAAGTGCAAACTGTTTTAAAATCCCCTAATTCTTTAATCCAGTGCTTTTCAAAATGCTGTTCTGAAGCAAAGCAAGGAACTATTGCCAGAATGTAAACTAATGCATGCTTTCCTTCAAGAATAAATAGGGTGTCGAAGAGTTATGTGTGTCATCATGATAATGTGGAGGAAATCAGTAGGGGAATGTTTACTAAGAAGGTGACACCTGATCAACTAAAGTTAGATCTATCTATTATTTAAAAACCAGTGTAGGAAAAATTATTTGCATATATACAAATTACAGAAACTATAACATTTTTTAAGTTTTTTCCTGCACTGGTTTTTAAAAACCCAAGCCAACACTTAAAAGTCCAGATTCTCTTGAAAAAAATTACACTGAATGGAATCAGATGCCTGTATGAAACTATACAGTTGTGTGGCCTCTACTACTTACAATATATATGTACTCAGAACCAGCCTGCCTGTTTTCTTATGGGAAAGCAACTCCTGCTCTTACTACCGGACAGGCTAAGGTTTTTCTGTCATTAGTATACTTTTCTCAAATACTTACTTAGGAAGACAAATTTAAGGAATTAGAAAATTATTTAGCTAGGTCTGCTGCACAATAAATTCTTTGATTCTTGATGCATTTAAAACCTGAAAACATGTTTAAAAATTATTAAACTAGAAATTAAGTGCTTTTATATAATTTACAGAACCTCAAAACCTTAAAAGGTAGTAAACCAAAAAAACAAACCAGCTGCCATAGAGTCACTTTCGACTTATGGCAATTCCAAGTGTGCAGAGTAGAACTGCTCCATAGGGTTTTCAACCTTTTGGAAGCAGATCATCTGGCCTGTCTTCCAAGATGCCTCTGGGTGGGTTCAAATCACCAACCTGTTAGTTAAGAGCTTAATGATTTACATATGTACTATCCCCATTTCATCCAAGAGAACTGAGACAGTTAAATTTGCAACACAATGGCACAGGAAAGATTTGAACTCAGAATTGAAAATCAGTTGAACACTTAACACTCTTGCTTCTACTTTTTCCAAAGGCAGAAAACCTTAATGTTCCCATAGCAAAACTATGACACCTGATTTATCACTGCACAATCACAAAACAATGATACATGAATGCAGAGGGTATCTTAGCAAAGACTACGTATATATAATTATAGGACACCCAAAGCCAAGTTTGTTTTTCTCTTTTATATCATAAGTTATCAACAAAGTCCTGACCTAGGAATAAAAAATTAAATGAAATCACACAATTTAAGACCAGGAACCAACTAAACCACATACATATTTTGATCAAGAAACCAATACTGGAATATTACCAAAATAAAAATTAAGTACATGCTCAATTAGCACACTATATATTTCACAGAATAAGAAGCATTAACATTCATGTAGGAAGTTTATTTACAAACATAATCAGTATGCTATATGATTTCAATAGAGTTTGATCCATTTTTCAGAGGCTGGACTTCTTAGAATGCTCCTCTTCTTATCTGAGGAAAAAAAAAAAAAAAAGCAAAAACTCTCCTTACTGTAATTAAATAAAAATCCCATTTAGTTCACAGAAGTCAGTTTGATTAAGTTTGGCCATCAGTTTGTGTGGTACATCAGAAAGCGTTTACAGTATCATGACTTCATTCATACTGATTTGCTTCATCATATGCACCAAAATCTTTTCCTATTCATGCCTTGGATAAATCATTTCCCTTCTACGCTACAACAATGTCTTTCTTCTCCAATGTATATTTTGGAATTTATTCCAATCATCTTACAGGGCTTCCTGTAGAAATTCTTGGAGAAAAACTTAACCATAATTAAATCTTTTATTTCCGGCACATGGAATGTGATAACCCCCCAGCACAGAAGACTCCTTTGATCAGATACCTTAATACAGGTTTTGGAGTCCCTGGGTGGCATAAACAGTTAATGCACTTGGCTGCTAACTGAAAGATGATTATGTTGAAGCCGGCTTAGGCAGCTATTTTGTTCCATGAAGGGATGTAGAATGACCCAGAGCAACCTCCACCCAGAGGCACCTTGAAAGGAAGGCCCAGAGATCTACTTCCAAAAATTCAGCTAATGAAAACCCTATGAAGCACAGCTCTACTCTGACACACGTGGGTCACCATGAGTTAGAGTCAACTCGAAATCAACCTCAGCAATACTGGTATTTTGGACCAGGTAATTCTTTGTCTTGGGAGGGGGCTATCCTGAGCTTGGAACAATATTTAGTAGCATCCCTGGCCTCTACTCACTAGACGCCAGTAGCAACCCTCTTGTTGCCAAATATCCCCTGGGGTGCAAAAACACTTCCATTTGAGAACCCCTGCCTTAATGAGAAAGGTAACTTTAAAAATCAGACTTTTGCCAAGATAGCCAAGTTATCAGGCATAGATTTACATTTGCATCAGCACCTGGGACTGATACGAATCCAGGAGCACTAGAAACATTTATCTCCTGGTGGTTTTCACAACTTTTCTGTACTGTAATCCTGGGTTTTAAAAAATGGAAAGGAGCACAGTGACCACTTTACAAAAGGAATTGAGTGTTTAAGACAGACTAGCATAAATCAGCTTGTTAGTACTTTTACCTGGTTAAAAGTGTGAGCTGTGGTATCAGACTGCCTGGGTAAGAATCCCGGTCTACCAATCATTAGCTATGGTATCCTCAGCAATGTACTTAATATCTTTGTGTTTCAGAGAGTGCTAGTATCATTCATCCACCTCACAAACAGAAAGTATTCAATAAACCTTAGCTATTATGACGTAGGCCAAGAAATATCTGTTTCTAGGATGAATAACCTGTCTCCATCAATGCCACACTTAAACTTCATTTCAGGACCCATCTCCACACAACCATGTATTTATGGTGTTACTTCTTTGAAAAGGAATAAACGGGAAAACACTGTTTTATGATGATTAGAAATCCATTAATTACCTGTATCATGGATGAACTTAAACATCTTTATTTCTTAAGCAGTTGGTGTCTTACTATAAAGAAAGGTGCAGCAAATCCAGATCCCAAGTATACAGTCATCATAACTAGTAACCGCCACTTGTTTTCCACTGAAAATGGCAAATTCTGTTGGGAAAAGAGAAAAACAACAAAAACAGAACTTCAAGTCACCTAATTATTTTATATATCAAAAAATAAGCATACAGTACATGCTAGAAAGAGTTTTATTGTAGAACCCAGTTATATATGCTATATACCAGAGGCCCTTTTAAACAGTCTTTCAAATCCTATGACCTTCATGACACACAGCGCTAGAAGATAAAAAAATATCTCATTTAAAAAAAAGTCACTCTCGAGGACTAGGTGTAACACTGTGAGAAACAAAGTCTACTCTTCTACTTTAGAAAATCGAAAAAAAAATTATTATCCCAAGTACTCATTTTAAAAACAAAATGCATTGTTTTACTATCCTTGGAAACTTGCCACCTAGTAAAGAAACACAGTAGTGATAAATGCACTGCCAAGGAAGTTTCACTTTTTCGTAACTAAGCAGTCCTACCCTCTACACCCCTTCTCCACCCTTCCCTAACAGGGCTCACATAACACTCAAACAATTACTACTAATCACCCGATTTAAGTTAGCTATACGAGAGGTTAAATCTAAACCGCAACCGAGGACGGTTAGTACTTCCTATCTAGTAAACTGCTTAGAAAAGGCCAGATCCACAATCACAGGCCCTCATTTTCTCATCAGTTCCCAATGACCTTCACTGCCGGTCCGATGACCTCAAGCTCGACGTTAGGCCGTAATACCTGCAAGCCGCGTCTCCCGGGTGCTCCAGACGTTCTTAGGGGGATAGGATACATAGGGCCTTTGGCTCTACCTGCTCATTCCCTTCAGCAAGTACGGTGGGCCGCCGGGGTCCTCAGTTTTCTGCCTGGTCTTTGGGGAAGTGGACTACTAGTCTGCATCTCAACCCGAGTTCCCTGCTTGCCATCTCCCTTTCCAGAGCCCGTAGGTGGCCTTCGGATTCTGCGATTGGCAGTCAAGTGCCCCCTCCTCCAAGCAAGCCGGGCTCCTAACACACTAACCTTCCCTGGGCCCTCCTCATAGTGGCTCCTTCGGACCACAGATGTGGTAAACCTTCGGATGCTCTGCCCCAACATGGCGCTGCTCGAGGCTCTGCGGAAAGTGCAGACCGAGGGCGGAAGAAATGGCGGTACCAACTCCTGCTTTCACGACCTTGTTCCCGGGTGTGCAAGGACCGAAAGGGAAGATGGGAAAAGGGGCAGTGGTTTCGGGAAACAAGACTAACAGGCGTGCTCAGGGATTGTGGGAAGTGTAGTTCAGAACATTGAGGCGCCTTTTTTTTTTTTTTTTAAGCCCCGAAGGATTGTGGGAAATGTAGTCCCGCTCTGGGGCCTATGCTTAAGAGTTTAGGTTGTTTCTTATCAAAAGTGACTAAGTGCTTCGAACTAGAGTTCTTTTCTTAAGCTCAGGTCTAGGATTCTTCGATCTGTTTCCAGAAACAGTTTTACTGAATCTAGAGAAGCAACCCGGTTTGTTTTAGTTTATCGAACAAGAAAATAAAGCTTTCCTTTTTCTTTTTTCAGTGAGTGTTTCCTCGGTATGATTTGCAGTACAGCGCCAAGCGCTGATAGTTGTGTAATGTGATCTTATCCGAGGAGACAAAGCGTAAACACGTAAATATAACATGCAGCACAAAGGATGTTAGAGAGAAAATTGAATTCAAATGCCAAAGGGAGGATTTATGAAGGTTTAGGGAACTGAGTAGAACAGAAAGAGGGACAAAGGGGAGAGAAAACTCAAGGTCGGTTGAAATAGTGGAAGAGAAAAGCAGCTCCTGACATCTGGCGTTAGCCTAGGCCAGGCCTTTGTGTTCTCCTGTTGAACAGAAACAATTGCACAACACATCAACAGCAGACAAGACGGTTCCGTGACTGCGATGGGTCAAGAACACAGGACACCTAAGTAATCATGTCTGAACACAGACAAAACATGAACATTTCCCAAGACACAAAAATGACCAAACATCCCCCTAAAAAACACCCCATTGCCGTGGAGTTGATTCCAACTCATAGTGATCCTACAGGACAGATGAGAGCTGCCCCATAGGGTTTCCAAGGAGCAGCTGGTGGATTGGAACTGCCGACCTTTAAGTTGGCAGCGTTAGCTCCCGTAGCTCTTAAAACCACTGTGCCACCAGGGCTCCAAACATCCCACTCTTATGAACAATAAGATGACTTCCACTTCTTTAGAAATTACAGCCTTGGTCTAGTCTTTCCTACTTCTAATTAAGATTTTTTATTAAACTACCAAATCATAGAATTACCCCTGCTTTCTGACAGCATCCAATCGAGAGCAATGGCCCATTTCCTCAAACCCTCCCCAAATCACCATCCATAAGCCTAAATCCTATAACTTCTTTCTAACCCTTTCTTATTTAGATGCCCCAAGGTTTTTCAAGGTATGTGCTTTTCCTTACTACACCAACACATTCTGGCGCTAGTAATAAATTCAGTTTGTTCAATTGTTGGTGTATTCCTGGTGGTCTTTTACTAGAGGGCATGGAGAAGAGGAAATCAGTGATAAACAACACTGGGAAAATGGTAATAGGTTAGATTATGAGAGGTCCCTGCTAACCTGTGTTATTTATCTGTGGGAGGATGTACATTGCCTCAGATGGCTCATTTATACAGCAGTAGTGAACAAAGTCAAATAAGACCTAAATCTTGTTTTGAAAACTAGGTACATATTGTATACTTTAATTTCCTTTATGAAAAAGAAAGCCATGCCAAAAAAAGACTTAGGATTTAATAAGTTTTATTTCTATGTGTTGCTATGAGTCAGAATTGACTCGATGTCAATGGGTTTTTCTAAATTTCTATATATAACTTCTGATTGAGTGGAGACCCGTCTAACACATTATAACCAGTGTCCTCCACACAATATATAGGGAATATATAACATTCAGTCCCTGGGTCGTGCAAACTGTTAACATGCTCGGCTGCTAACTGAAAGGTTGTAGGTTAAAGTCTACCCAGAGGCAACTTGGAAGAAAGGCCTGGTGATCTATTTCCAAAAAATCAGCCATTAAAAACCCTATGATGCACAGTTCTACTCTGACATGATGAGTCAGAGTTGACTCCACAGTAATTATATATATAATATATATAATATTCAATTATTTAAAAGTCACATTCAGTGCCTTATGTATTAAACTATAATTGGGAAACTTTTTATGTCCCCTCCTCATGAATCTGGGCAGACTCTCTGTGACTATTTTGAATGAGAGAATATGACAGAAGTGGCACTGTGCCAGTTTCCAAGCCAGGCCTTATCAGATTGGCAGCTTCCTTTCCTGTCTTTTGAGACATTTGCTCTTGGACCCACAAGCCTTCATGTAAGAAGCTTGACTACTTTGCTGGAGATTAGGCCCTAAGACTCCATGGACAAGGGGTGGGCCCTATGGTGCCAGGCATGTGAGTGAAGCCATCTTGGACCCTCAATCCCAGCCCAGCCCAGTGACCAGCTGAATATCACTGAGTGACCCCAGTTAACACTGTGTAAAGCTGACTTGCCCAGCTGAGCCTGCTCCAGATGATGATCTACAGATTTGTGAGATATAATAAAATGGATTATTTAAACATTTTAAGTTTGAGGTAGTTTGTTATGCAGCAACAAATGACTGGAACAGACACATAGCGGTAACAGCTACTTTTTTTTACAGAAACCAGCCCCTCCACTAACTGCCCTCTGGGGAACACAGTGTCTCATCACTAATCTGTGGATTTGGAAATTTTGTTTTGTCATTACAATATTTATTTTAGCTTAATAAACATCTTTTTCTCGAAGCACGCATCTGTGATAATTCTCTAGCTTTCATGCGTCGAGCTCAAGTGTGCTGAATACATCAAAACATCCAAAGTCTGGAAACAGAGTGGTTCCATTTGATGCTGTTGTAGCAGCAGTAGTACTTTGGGGAGTGTGGGATGCTTTCAGAAATGCACTTTGCAGCTTTTTGATGTTCCTTGTGGGTTAGGGGGTAAATTGAAATGGGATCCAAGGTGGGTTAAATCACTTAATCCTAGCGTGATTACTGACCTTTGTATTAATGGCAAGTTATCAGCCATAGAGCACATCCTAGTGTTTCACATCCTAATTATTTCAAAATATTCTCTAAAAATCATTTTTGTTAATATGCCACCTTCCCTCCTTCTGATCTTAGTAACCTGCTTGACCGATATAATGCAGAAGAGTGACATTCTAAGACTTCTGAGACTAACTTATCAAAGCTTTGCAGTGTCTATTCAGGCAACTTGGAATGCTTGCTGGGGAGAAGACAGCTGCCATGTAAGAAGTTCAACTACCCTGAGACTGCCAGAGTTGAGGAAGCCCAGGCTAGCCATATGGAGAAGTATATGGAGAGAGAAGGAGAGACTCAGAGTGAGAGACCCAGATAGCCCCAAGCTGTTCCAGCTATCCCAGCCCAGGCACCAGCATGTGAATGAAGAAGCCCTCAGGTGACTCCAGTCACACACATGATTTGCCTATAATTAAATAAAGAATGTTAAGTAAGAACTTCTCAGCTGAGCCCAGCAGCCCCCAGAACTGCAGAAGAAAATAAATTGTTTTAAATCACTTAGTTTTGGGGGCAGTTGTTACACAGCAATAGAAACCTGGAGTATGTATCGTGCACTATTTCTTACACAGGTAGCCTAACAATCTACATTCATGTCATAATATCAGCAAGAAAAATGAGAATCATCCTAGAGAAACTTCTGGTTCAGTATAATACACTTTCACCATAAAATAGGTTTTAAGAGAAATGAGATATTTCACGAATTGATTGGTACAAAATAGAAAACATCTTTAGGGACATGAGGTTTACTCCAAAGTTATATTTTAGGAATAAAATCTAATTATTTTATGTAGTGAGTAGGATGTATATCCTAGAGTGAGACCCAAGGAAGTCTTTGGAGACTGAAATTATAGTATATAAAACTTATATAAAACAGTATATCTAAAAATTAAAGTGCAGTATTTGTCACTCCTTTCAACAGCTACTGTATTAGATTTTAAGAACTAGGTTCAAGTTTATCTAAAGTAAATCGCTTAGTGAAGAAATTACGAATTTCCATCCTACATTGCAAAATTCAAGTGAACAAGTTGCTTTTGATCTTTAGTTTTTAGAACTTCCTGCTACTGTAGGAAAGTCAGGACTCTGATAACTTCTATTTGAAATTTTAGATTTGTAGGGAAAAAATCTAGTTTCAAGAAAAAGAAAAAATGTGATCGTACGGAGGCCATTGGAGTTAGGAAACATTCTCCTAGTCTTCTGAATGATTTAGTGATGACTCACTAGAAGAAAAAGTTCTGCAAAAAAAAAAAAAAATAGCTTACTTAATGACCAACTATATCTACACTTCATCTTGTTTCCTCTTTTCAGAATGTCTCCAGTTCTTTCTTTTTTTTTTTCTTCTCGTTGTTGTCTTCAAAACTCTATGCACGTTATTATCTCTAAGAAACTGACGAAGAGCATTCTAAAATTCGAGGCATTTGCCTGGGTTCAGGCTACTGCCTAAAGTGCAGATGTGACTCCATTTTGACAGCTTGACGGTTTCTGAGAAATTACCTCCGCTTTGCAGTTCTCAGAAAGCTTGGTAGCTAGGTCAAGATTGCAATAATGATCATTATGACTTGCATAGGTGTTAAGCATGTAACTTCAGTGGTTAAGCCGATTCTCAGAAGATACCTCTCTACCCACCTCGAAGCACGTTTTTCTAACCCCCTTGCAATAGCTTGCACTTTTCCACAACCTTATTCTAACCAACCCTGTGGATGTGAGCCAATCAAAAGCATTTTAGTTGTACCTCTTTACTTGAGGTTTTTGCTTTTATAAACTCCTGTAACTGAGTCAGCTTTTTGAAGCATTGCCTTCATATTTTGAGGCTGAACGTTTCCTACTTCAAACTGTGTTTGAACTTTCAATAAATCACTTCACTTTTATTTTAACAGAGTCTCTGAGTTTTTACTCTATGACAAAGCTTTCCCAAACCTTAAAAGGAATTGGTTTTTCTTTCAAGATTATTTAAAATTTGATTTATAATATTCTTATGATAGTAATCTGAAATATTGTAATTTGTTAGGGATATGTCTCTGTCTCCTTATTAGACTATATATTCTTAAGAAAAAGGACTGCATTTTAATCATCTTTATCCTATTACATAATAGGTACTCAATAAATTTGTGTTACATG